TTGTAATAAGATTCCAACGAGTCTTTATCTTCGGATGAAATATCACTTGAATTTAACAATGTTTTCACTTTGGCTTGTATGGCCCTAAATTGTAAATCGTCGATGTTGTACGATCCATAAGATTCGACAAAGGTTTCCACTTTCCCAATTAAATCCTGGTAGGAAATAATAAAAAAATTAGAAGCAATACTATTCTCACTAAATGTCCATCCATAGAGTTTTTGCATCAAACGTCGAAGCCTTCCATTGGATGCTTGTTTTGACATTGTTGATAAATATATCTGAAAAGAAAAATATAATTGATTAAAATATTGGTTATTAATAAAAGTTAGGTGCAAAATGGAAGTTAAGTGGGGATTCGATTTTGGAAATAATCAATTTTTTCGATGTAAAATTATTGAGAAAAAAAAATGTGTTTCCGTTCAAGCGCTGAAAGTACATCGAAACAATCGTCTAAACTTTTAAAGTGTTAATCGCACAATCGAATACATACAACATCGATCATCATCATCAGTGGTAGAGGCATCTCCAAATTTTTTGATTTTTTTTTTTGTTCGAATTTAATTGCACATGCGTTAAATTTTTTTTTTTCTCTCTCTCTCTCTCTTTTTCAATGCATTGTTTAAGAAGAAAAAAAAAATATTCGCCATTTTGTTTCATGCGCAAATGAAATTATTTTTTTCGATAACGTTTGTTCGATTTTTCTCGAGACTATAAATAGCTGAACACAAACTTCGAAAATTTTCGTACGCAGTAACGAGGGATCATACGTGTTTATGCACGCCATTGATCTCTGTCATTAGTCCAATCTTTGGTGATTATATTGATCCATTGAATGGTCTATTTCTTCAATCTCGTACCCTTCATGTTCCTTTAATGGTTCATGAAGCTTTTTTTATCGTAACATGGAACAAGCTGGCTTTTTATCTAATTGCTCAAATAACATTCCTGGCCATGGCTTTATTCTATTCAAGATATATTGCCCTAACAATTTTGGTCCGAATCTTTCATCATCCATTGCCTCATCATCAAAATTTCTGATCCAATAACAGAATCACCATAAACTGAACTGAATGTTTCAAGTTTCACCATTACAATGATTTTTTAAGAAAAAACATTTCAAGATTCTTACTGGCAGCCTGTATAATCCTACAATGGGATAATGTTTTCATATATCTCAATACCATTCTACGGACGTTGATGTTTTGGCCATAACCTTAACCACGTTTTCCGTTTGAATAATCGAACTTCGAATCTTGCCTATTCGATGTTTATTGGATGGCGCCTTACTCATTGGACTTGATGATTATCAACGATGGCAAGGATCATTGATTATTTTTAAATAACAATGAATATTGACGATTGTATTTGTGAAACCATTGATTAATTTATTAATCAAGAAATAATTGTGTAAATCCATTTGAATGTATTTTTGTAATTAAGAAATTTTTTCAGTGAAATTCCATTACGAATAAAATTTCGGATAACAAAGATAAAAAAATTTTTGTTTATTTTGTTTATTTTATTTTCATTATTATTCTAATTGAACACATATTTTCAATCGATGATGAAATATATGATCTCTAACAACACAAAAAAAACGATCAAATATTTGCTTCACGTAAATGTATAAAACGTGAAAGTATAAAACAAATGGCAACCGATATAATGGTTAAACCACATGCAACTAAATAGAATGTTTCTTCATCAAATAATTGATCAAATTCAGGAAATAAATTATAAACCATATCATACATTTCGACTAGAACATTATAATGTCGATTCTGCATTTTTATTATTGCGGTTGATATTGAATTTGGATTAGGATTCTAAACAAGGACAATATATTCAATCAATCAATCGATCGATAATGATCATTGCTCAACGATAAATTTCTTTGAATATTGATTAAAATATTCCAATAATTCAATAGTGGTTAGATTGGCTGTTTTGAAATGTATTTTTTTACCGTTTTCTAATTTTGCAAAAAAAAAGAATGTAAATAAGAAATTGGAAAATCAAAGTTTTCTATCAAATAGTTTTTACCAAGATGAGCAGTAATGGTTGGTTCTTGTTGATCACAAACAATTTCCGTACGTATCAAACACTTTGGATTTGTTTTATGTACTTGACGACGATCCAAATGTTGTAAAAATTCTCTATAAATGGGCAAAAAAAATCTTTGAATTATCTCTAAACAATCTCTGGTTGATGCTTACCTAATCGAAACAACTTGTGAATGAAATGGATCAAATTTAAAATGAATCCTTTTGAATGGTTTTAATTGTAATTGACGAATCTCATTCTGTTTGGCCAACAATAATGGATTCTTTGCCGGTGGAAATTTTTTTGGTAAAATTTTTGAAAACATCGACTATATTTAGTGAGAAAAGAAAAAAATGATTTTAATGGATTTATTTAGTTTTCGATGTAAAATAGGATTCCTAAAATGAATAAAGCATGGACAACAATAATATCATCAACAACAATAACAGAATTCGAGCACAAATATATAGCGAATATTGTGTTTTGTTTTGTTTTTTTTTCTGGTCGCGCATGCATCCAAGAATCGCAAGAATAAAATCAAAAATATTTTGAATAATACTTTTTGTTACAAATGAAAAATATATCACTTACATATTTTAATTATTTTGGATTTAAATTGATTGAAAACTTGAATTTCGATTGATAAATTTTCAAATTGATTTGTAAAATTATTGAAATAATTTACATACAAACATGTGAAATTTACAACGTATTAACTTGGCCAATGAAATTTGATGAAAACTTGCAATATATAAATATCAACAGTTTTATTTTCGGAAAATATATATTCATGATCAAAATAAAAAAAAAATCAAGATTATCAACAAAACTCATTGAAACTTAATGGACTAAAAACAGTAGATAACTGGTTGATTTGATTTAGATTCAAATATAATTCATTTATCAATCTCATATCATGTCTGGCCGTAAAGTTTCTTCAACATTACGAATCGGTTCTCGAGTCGAATACACAGTTGTAACCGGTAATGAACGTCGTAAAGTTCCTGGTACTATTGCTTACGGTCCTAGTTCGTTTCATCTTAAACCAAACGAAAATGATTGGTGTGGTGTTATATTAGATGAACCATGTGGTAAAAATAATGGTACAGTACAAGGCCGACAATATTTTGATTGTCCGGAAAATTGTGGCGTTTTTGTACGTGTTTCAACATTACGTCCTATTCTTGATCATGGTAGTCGTATACCGATGCCACGTACATCACGATCATCTACACCATCATCCACACCGAAATCGATGACACCATCATCATCTATTCAATCATTTACCGGTATTATTGATTCAACTGGTGATACAGGTTCGGTGATTGTCGAAAAAAATTCCAAACTAACCGAATCGATTAATCTGCCAACGGGCAATCAAACATCTAAAATACGTCCACCAACAAATATAATGTCATCTTCAAGTCATGAATTGAGTTCAAAATCTCAACAACAACAACAGCAATCTAATATACAAAAAATGGTGGAAAAAATCGAAACCAAACGTGATGAAATGATTCGTGAAGATGATGCTGCACAACATTGGTCACAATCATCAATACCAACAACTAAAACCACTAAAGAATTGCAGGAAGCAAATGAAAAAATCAAAGATCTTGAATCCAAATTGAATACATTAATGTTGAAACGTGCCGAAGATCGACAAAAATTCAAAGATTATGAACGATTAAAAATACAGAATGAACAATTATTGGAAAATAAAAAACAAATGGCTGAAAAGATTGCCGAATTATCTAAATCAAAAACGGCGGCCGAAAATGAAGCAAAAGAAGCTCGAGAAGAACAAGTACGACAATCTGAAGAAATTAAAGATCTTGTTGATAATGCTGAAATGGCCGTCATTGATAAAGAAATGGCTGAAAATCGTGCCGAACAATTACAATTAGAATTGGAACAATGTCGTGAACAATTGGAAGAAGCTAAATTAGATTTTGAAATACTTAAAACTGAAATTGAAGATAAAGGTGTTGATGGTGCTGCAAATAGTTTTCAATTAAAAAAATTAGAAGATCAAAATAATCGTTATAAAGATGCATTACTTAAACTACGTGATATATCTGCTGCCGATCGAACCAATATACAAATGATGCAAAAAGATATTGAACGTAAAAATGATGAAATCAATAGTTTAATGCAAACAAATGAAAAAATGAAATCAGAATTGGAAAAATGTTATGAACAAATTGAAGTACTTAAAGAACAAGTTGATATGGCTTTAGGATCACAAAAAATGGTTGAAAAATTAACCGAAAAAAATCTAATGATGGAAGATAAAATGGAAGAATTACAAAAAGCATTAGATGAAGAGGAAAAGATTAAAGAATTATCCAATATGATTATTGAAGAAAAAGATGATATTATAGCCGATTTACGTGATGAAGTGAATAAATTCAAAACAAATTTAGTTAATATTCGTAATAATTTTTTAATGGCACAAGAAACTGTACAAGATCATGAAAATACTATAAAAAAATTTCGTGAATTAGTTGCCATATTAAAAGATGAAAATAATATGCTTCGTGCTGCACAAGAACAAGATCATTCAAAAGTTCAACAAGCTGTTGATGTACAAAAACAATTGGAAAATATTGAATTCAAAACTCGTCTTTTGGATCGTAAAGATGTATCAAGAGCAATCGATATGGAACTACGTCAATTAGATATTGATCAATGTTATCGTCATATGGTTTATTTGGCACGTTTTTTTCCCGAATCATTTTTTATACGTGGTGGTGATCATGATGCTATTGCTGTATTATTGTTCATTCCAAGAATGTTTACAAAATGTTTGATTATTGAAAGACAAATTTTGGAAAAATATTCAACAACAAATACAATTGCTCAAAACAATATGTCGATTACACCGGAATCGATTGTTCGTGAATTTTTTGATGGTGATAATAATCGTATACAAGTAGAATCTAGTGATAAATTAAAGCAACAGATTTTTGCTAAACATTTGGTGTATTTATTAACATCGATACGATCAACATTGGATAAATATCAGGATATTTTGGCAAAATGTGATACAGAATTGTTTATGAAACTTGGATCATTATATCCAGAATTAGCAGGACATGAAAAAAATGTTGATAATTTTGTTAATCTATTACGTGAAGATAAATTGGATGAAACTGTATCATTAGATTCATTGGAAAAGATATTAAATTATTTACATTCATTATATAATATTTATATTGCTTCAACAAATCTAGAATCAGTTGATAATCATAATAAATTCTTAAATGATTTAATCGATGTACTTCGTACCGGTACAGAAGCTTCAATATTAGATTTAAAAATAATTTCACGTATGACTGATTCGGATACATCAATGTTTTTATCAACAATGGAAACATCATTAAATGATATTGAACAATTTGGAAGGAAAATTCGACGAAGAATGGTTTCGGCTGGATCCAGTTCAACCGATATGAATCCAGCTTGTTTGATAAAATTTCCACCAACTATTGAAGCTGAATTACTGGATTCATTTCATAATTTTTCACTAATTGTTCGTAATCTTAAAACAATGCGTTCAGTTTTGATGAATGAATTTCTTAGCCAATTTATTCGTACTGTTGATGATTGTTCATCATCAACCGATTCGGAAATCAATTCAATAAAACGTTTCAATATGAATGATTTGGAACAAACATGTAAAGAATGGAATGGTAATAGTATTAAATCATTGAATGAAATGCTTACCAATGTGATCAGTATAATTTGTAAATTCTGTACGGTCATTCAACAAGGTAATTATGATTCAATTTTGTATAGAATTTTTAATTAAATTCTTTTTTTCTCATACATAGGTGATTATGATGTTTCAAAAACTGATACAACAACAATACAATCACAAAATTCACAATTTGATTCATTACAATCAAATCAATCAAGTTTACAACAACATTTTAGTTTACCATTATCATTTCAAAATCTATTCAGTAGTACACGTAGTGGTAATAATAATTTGGGATCATGTTCATTACAATGTATACCATTAGATCAACGTGCATTTATTTGGCGACAACAATCCGAACAATTACAAGATTTTCGTCAAAAAATTCAAACACAAGAATCCGATATAGCCGAATTGAAACGTGCATTAAAATCAAAAATTGATGAAGTTAGTGAAATGCAAATAAGACGTGATCTATCCGAAAAGAAACATAAAGAAGCATTAAAAGAAATACAAAAACTTCAAGATGAATTAGAACGAATGACAAAAGAATTTAAAGAAAAAGAAGCTGAACGTGAACGTACATTAAATAAATATAATCAGGAAATCAATGATCTTTATTCAGATCATCGAATGATGAAAGAAAAATTGAAAGATTATTCAAAAAATGCTTTATTTGGTAAAGTTTCTTTACTTGCATCCAGTTCATCTAATTCACCATTAGCAGCAGCCGTAAATCAATCATCAACAAGTCCAATGAGTTTGGGAAATTTTTCCTCATTACATCATTCGCCTAATATTAGTTTAAGTCCGACACCTAGTTTAAATCAATCATTATTATCGAGTCAATGTGGTCAGGAAGTCGCAAATGTTTTAGCAACACAATCATCAATGGTTAGCAATGATGTTTTACAACTACAACATCATATACAGAATCTTCGTTTAGCAATGAAACAAATTGTAGCTAAAAATATTGAACTTCGTACAATGTTAACATCACATGAGGAAACGATTCAATTGAATAATGATGGTGAATTGATTAAAGTTCGTCCAAAATGGTATCTAGATTCATTACGACGACAACAACAACAAAATCGATTATACGATGATGTTAAGATTGAAGCAAAATTCCAAGAATTCCATAATAAACTTTTACAATTGAATAATGATTGGAATAACTATCGTTGTAAGAAATCGGTGCAAATATTTGATTTAGATCAATTACCCGTGAATCGTAATAAACCCGGTTGGACAAAATGTTTTGGTGATATAATTGATAAACATCAACAACAACAACGATTAGATGAATTGAATTTTTCGTTACGATTTCAACAGCTACAAATTGAATTTGAACAATTTATTAAAACATTGGATAATGGATTTGTATGTGATTCTTCATTTACAACATTCATTGCACCACATATTTCAAAGGTAATATAAATTCTTTTCCTGGTTTTATAATTGACAATCTATTTATCTTATTTGATTTGTTTTGTTGTTTTCCCAAAATTCTAGATTGTAAATGCTAAACCAAAACTATTAGCACGAATCATAATTGATGGCAATAATAATAAGAGATTATCGGTGCAGAAATCAAAATACATTGATGGTGGTGGTGATGATTTGAGTACAAATTTAATGAAAAATATTATACCATTAGAAATTACTAATAATGAATTGAATCGTATGCAGAAAATTTTACTTTATTAATATGATTGAATGAATTGATTGATAATTTGAAGCTGTGATGATAAATCAATAAATTTTTTGATAATTTTATCATCATGTGCTTTTTTAAATTGTTCTATATTGAATTTTCAATGATTTGATTTGGAAGAAAAATCAGTGATGTCAAGCTTGACATCCTTTTCAAAAAAAAAAAATTTTGTTTAATGTTTAGCGAAAAAAACCGTCAAGTTAAAACACTGTCAATCATCCTATGATGATGATCATCATAGGATCTAATGGTGATTTGAAAAAAAAACTAAATAAAAATTAAATTACTCGGTAATTTTATTATATAAAAGATAATTTTTTTAAATAAAAAAAAACTCGTATGATTCGTTTTAACGAAAAACTAAACTAACCCATAGAGTACATTTAATGATTAAGATCATCAATAACAAACGAAAAAATCGAAATCTGTTCAGTTCTAAAAATTGTTTATTATTATTATTCATTATTCATTAATGGAAAAAGTGATAATTAAACACGTAAACATATCATTCGGCGATTGGAAAAAAATGTCATTGAATCACTATAGTGATGATAAATGATGATGATTGAAATATGATTTTGTGTTCGACTTTCCGTTTGTCCGTTATTTTCCATTCAATGTTTTTCTTTCCTTTTTTCACCTCGATTCAAATTGATCGATATTTTTGAATAAAGAAAAAAAACATGAGCCTATTGAATATTGCAGCATTGTTATCAACATTAACTGCCACAAATTATTCATCAACAATATCAACCTTTCATCATCAACAACAACAACAACAACGTTTATTATCCGATAATTATAATGCTGATTTAGTCAACAATCTTAATGGCCTTAATTTTCAACCAAAATTCAATCATTATTCAGGATTTTTAACAGCATTAGATGATGTTTATCTTCATTATTGGTTTTTTGAAAGTGAACATCAACCATTAAATGATCCATTAGTATTGTGGTTGAATGGTGGTCCTGGTTGTAGTTCATTAGTCGGTGCATTAGAAGAAAATGGTCCATTTATAATTAATAAAGATTTTACTATTGATTATAATCCAAATACATGGACAACACATGTTAATATGTTATATATTGAATCACCAGCACAGGTTGGATTTTCCTATAAATTAGATCAAAATTATCAAACTGATGATAATGAAACTGCATATAATAATTTAGCTGCATTGAAAAATTTTTTTGAAAAATTTCCACATTTAAAAAATAATGATTTCTATATTGCCGGTGAAAGTTATGCAGGTATATTTATACCAATGTTAGCAACATTAATTATTGAACAACGTTTACCAACAATTCGTTTGAAAGGATTTGCATTAGGAAATCCATTATTAAATCTACAAACGAATATGGAATCACAATTTTTTTATCTTTATTCACATGGAATTATTGATACAAAAACCTGGTCAAATATATTGAAATTTTGTCCTTGTTATGGTCATCGTAAACCAATGTCATCATATTTGAGTCAACCAAATGATTTAAAGATGAAAAGAAATTGTAATAATGAAAATGATTTATCATATTATTGTCAAGATGCAATGAAAATGATTGAATATTATGTAACTTCATTTGATTTAAATTTATATAATATTAATAAAGATTGTAAACAAAATGATGATGATAATGATGATGAATCAACCAAATATTATTGGCAAGAATCATTAAAAAAATTTAATAAAATAGTTTTACCATTACCATGTTTATTGGATGATCATCCAATAACTGATTGGTTAAATCAACAATCAGTCAAAAAATCTTTACATGTACCATTAGAATTTCGTTGGGCATTCTGTAATAAAGTCGATTATGATCGTGAAAAATTTACTGTTCATAATGAAATTATGAAACTTATTGATTTAGGTATTAATGGATTAATATTTGCTGGTGATTTGGATGTTGTTTGTAATTTTATCGGTATACAATGGTCGATTGAAGATTTACATTTATTACCAATAAATAATCATACATATTGGAAATTGAATAATAATAATAATAAGATTGGTGGATTTTATCATAATTATCGATCAATGGAATCAAATGGTGGTTATTTAACATTTGCTACTGTACGTGGTGCTGGTCATTCAAGTGCAACGGATAAACCAAGTGAAACAAAAGATTTATTTTTAAAATTTTTAAATAAAAAAATTTAATGATTTTTTATTTATTTATTTACAATTTAACAAACAAACGATTGAAAAGTAGGGAGAGTGAGATAGATAGATAAAGAGAGTAAAGTAAAACAATTATATTTTTATAATAATAACATTCCAATTGTATTTTGAAATCTTATTTTGTTTTTTATGGTTTTTTTTGAAAAATAAAATATTTTTTTTTTAAGATGTTTCTCGGGAAATTTCTTGTTTTGTTTTTTGAATGTAAAAAAAGTCAAAGGAAAAAATAACAAACGTCAACGAATGAATAAAGATTTTTTTTCTTGATTTTCCAAAACAAAAGTAAAACAATATTCGAATGATAAATCCAAAGAATAATAATGATGATGATGATGATGAAAAAATTTCACAATTTTCATGATAAATTAGCCAGAATTTCTTTCGAAAGAAAAAATATTTTTGTGTATCCAGAATTCTTGAATGGGATTATCATTTGGGTTTTTTTTTGTTTGTTTCACATTGTGAAATTCGGACTTGTTTTTTTTCCGTTATAAAGATCATCATCATTATTATTAATTAGTGTAATGGTCTGTTTTGTTTTGTGTGTTTGTGTATGTGAAAAAAAATTGACAATCAAATCTGTTGTTTGTTTGGTCAGAGTGATTCCTTTTTCGTCCAATCCATTGGATTTGTGGTTGAAAAACATAGTTTCGTCCGAAAAAAAGTGAGAAACCGAATTGCTATCGAAGACTGCTTATAAAAAATGAAACGAAAAAAAGATTATCATTAGTAAAAAAAATATCGATTCTAATAATGATCATAGATAATATGGAATCATTATCATCCCAAGGGTAGTAGACATTGTCTTGTTATAATATCTTTCGCAAAACAAAAAACTAATTGTGTGTTTTGTGGTTTTTTTCGAGAAAAAATAAAAATGTTACTTACCAAAAACAGACAAAAAATATTGATTTTTTTTATAAAACGAAAAATAATCAATTTTAAACAGCTGTAATCGCTGACATTGGCAAATTTAATGTTGATGATGAATGTTGTAATGATTGATGATGATGATCATGATGGTGATCATTATTATTTAAAATAATCATTGATGATGTTAAATTTTTATCAATTATCATTTGATTATCATTTACAGATAATAATAATTTTTTTTCTTGTAAATTTTTATTATTATTATTCTGTTGTTGTAATTTATTAAAATCAGTCGGTTGAAATGTTTGTTTATTGAAATTTGAATAATTTTGCTGTTGCTGTTGGTTATTTGAATGTAATTGATAATGATAGATATTATTGGTTGAATGTCCAATACCTCCTCCGTTGTTACCACCACCACCACCATTACTACTACCACCAGCACAACTATTAATACTACTACCGCTACCGGTACGTGGATGACGATAACGTATAATTGGAAGGCAATTAAATGTTTTAAGCCACGTTGTACGATAATATGAACGAAATTTTGCATTGAAAAAAAAATATAAAATTGGATTTACACAACTATTAGATGCACCAAGCCATTGTGCAATCGGTACTGAATCTTGTAATATTTGCATAAAAATTGATTGTTCATCAATTTGTGGTCCAATTTTTAATATAAAAAATATCACATATAATGGTAACCAACTTAATGCAAATAATAATACCAATACAATTAACATTTTAAATACTTTTACTTTTGAACGTTCAATAACTAATGATGATTGTCTATTACCATCTTTAATATTTGATGGTAAATGTCTGGCTAATTTTGGTAATTTACGTTCAGCAATTTTTTTCAATATTAATATATAAAATAATGCTATTATACTTAATGGTATTAGATATTGTAAACCTAAATTTACAATTAAAAAATGTGCATTTGCCATTCCTGTACTTGGCCATTGATCACCACATATCTGTTTTTCGAAGAAAAGAAAAAAATATGTTTTAAAAAATTGGATTAAAAATTAAAGAAAATCATCTATCTTTATCATGGAATAATGAGGAAAAAAAGTGTGAATTTCAGGGGGATTCATTTCATCAACAACAACGAGAAAAAAGTCATAAATATTCAAATTAATTCAGCCAGCTAAAAAAACATTTTGAAATTCCAATGAAATTTGGATTTTTTCTTGTTTTTTGCGCCAAAAAAGAAATTGACGCAAATAGACAGAAATTGTTCTATTTTTCACCGGGGGAAAAAACGAAACGAAAATCAATTTTGATCAAACTTTAATTAAATAGAAATTCAATTCAATTTTGATCACTTTTTTTTGGTGAGAATTTTTGATGAATTTTTTTTCATTTCATTGCACCATCACACATTCGAATTGATCATGCGCATTGGATTTTGAAAAAAAGTTTAAATTTTTTTTTTCAAATAACTTTTTTCTACTTAAAATCAATTTGAACTAATCATATGATTATTGTTTGTTTGTAATGTGATCCGTAGAGGAAAAACAAAAGTTATGTAAATCGTTTTTTTTCCAAACAAATTTTCCATTATTTGTAAATTTCGTAACCAAAAAACCAAAAAAAAAACCCAAAACCAGAATCCATAAAGCCTAAAGGTTTATTTAATGTCAACATTGATTTTTGTAAAAGTATATAAAAAAAAGTTATACAATAAATAAATTGATTCTTTATTGATATCGGATGTTTTTCTTATTTTTCTGGCTGGACATTGGATAATGTTTTTTCTCTTCTTTTCGCACCGTTCGTTTGTTCATAATTTTTGTCCATGTATAACACGCCAATAAGCCAAAAAAGATAGAAAATATTGTTCATTCATTCATTTTTGATTTATGATTCAAGTTTTTTTGTTCATTTCTATGGAATGGATGATTCACATTAAAGTCTACATTATTATAATACATTTTATTATTATCTTATCGTTCAAATTACTCATGATGATCATAATGATGATAGCTTTTATAAAAATGGTCAATATTTTTTTGGGTTTCTCTCTCTTTGGTTTGGATCTTTGGATTTGTTACTTTTTACTTTAAACATTACTTATACGGGTAAATACGGGTAAAAATATATAACTTTGTTGCCCGCATTTACTATAGTAATAATAACAACCTTTTAATATGTTTTTTTTTCTTTGTCAATAATAATAATGACGATGATAACGATGATTATTACTTAAAGTTTATTATATTTGGTTATTATCATTTGGAGGTTTTTTTTTCTCCATTCAAAGATGTCATTGACATTGTGTAAAATCGTGTCTGTTTGTGTTTGTGTGTGTGGGAAGTGAGATTGATACGACCAAATAAAATCGATCGATAGAAGATCGATTTTTGTCGATCATATTTTTATCATGAAAAAAAATTCATTTTAATGTAATCGATTTTTGGCAATGAAATTGATCTACGAAAATTCCGGATATCGATTTTTTTGTTTGGGGTTTGTTTTGGTCGTTAGTGGATGAAAGAGGAAAGTAATGGCAACAACAACAACAACTTTTCCCTGGAAAACAACATTCTAATATTACAATAACAACAATGATAATTCATTTGTTTCATTTTTTCTTTGGTTTGTTTTGGCTTTTTCTGATGATTTGAACAATGACGATTCTTTGATTTCAACAAAAACACACTTGTTTATTAACAGGATGCATACTATAATACAGAAACAGTTTTTTTTGTCAAGTTTGTTTGTTTTTGTTTTGTTTTTTCGTCATTTTCTAATGGATTTTAGGATTTAATACGATAGAATTCCTGGAATGTTTTCAATTTTCAATTTTGTTTGAAAACATTTTTCTTAGAAAAAGAAAAATGAAATGAATTTAACTTTTTGTTTTCTCAAAATGAAACAAAATTTCTTGTTTGTTTGTCTGTTTATATTTGTTTCCGTTGAAATTACTAATCACAATTTCTTCTTTTTGTAAAAGATTTTTTTGTTTTCATTCATTATCGTACTGAATAAAAGAATTCCTTTAAAAAAACGAATATCATTTATCGATAATAGTGGAATGTTTTTACCCGAAGGAATTCATTAGAATAAAAGGGCCATATATAGAGAGAGAAACAATGAAGATAAATTGAAAGAAATTGAGGAAGTCAAATAGTATCGTATCATTAGTATTCATCATTAGTATTCATCAAAAACAATAAGAAAACAAAAATAGATCTTGAACCCAAAGATCATACGAAGAAAATAGAAAATTAATAGAGATAACTTTCAGAAAATAATCTCACGAGTATATCATTTCCCTTTCCACCACCACCGCCACTGCCACCACAAGAAGAAGTATATCTTTTCATTTTTGTTTTTTCATTCAGCAAAAAAAGAAAAATGACTTTTTGATTCACCAATATCATTCTTGAATATCATCAATTTTTTCCATAATGATTAAACAGAACAGAGAATAAAAATTGAATTCTGAATGGTTATTATTTATTTTTGGTAAACAAGAATCAATCCTTTTAGCATATCCCTTTTCATCATCGGATGTTGCATTAACCCTTACAACTCAGAAATAATGATTTGGGAAAATGATGATGATGATGTCAAGAACAAAAAACAACAAACAGGGAAAATCCATCAAATGTTAAAAAAATGTAAACAAAATTTTTATATTTTTTTAGGATAAACCAAAACACACAGATAGAAAAAGGCTCAAGCAATCCAAAAATAAGAGAAACTTTTCATTCAATAAACATGTTTTCTTTCTTTTTTTTGGATCAATTATAATTCATCTTCGTCATCATCATTGATGAAAATATAGTAGCAGCAGCGACGGAAATTCCTCTTGACGTCAACAAATTTATGAAATTATTAGTTGTTTACCAAGGAAAAATCNTTTTTTTTACCCGAAGGAATTCATTAGAATAAAAGGGCCATATAAAGAGAGAGAAACAATGAAGATAAATTGAAAGAAATTGAGGAAGTCAAATAGTATCGTATCATTAGTATTCATCAAAGTCGCAGAAAAAAAACAATAAGAAAACAAAAATAGATCTTTAACCCAAAGATCATATGAAGAAGATGAAGAAGATGAAAAATTAATAGAGATAACTTTCAGAAAATAATCTCACGAGTGTATCATTTCCCTTTCCACCACCACCGCTGCCACCACAAGAAGTATCTTTTCATTTTTGTTTTTTTCATTCAGTAAAAAGCAAAAATGAAAAAAATGACTTTTTGATTCACCAATATCATCTTGAATATCATCAATTTTTTTCCATAATGATTATTATGAAACTAAACAGCTATTCTGTTACAAATGGTTATTTTCATTGATTTGGGTAAACAAGAAAAATAAATCCTTTCAAACAAATCTTTTCATCATCGGATGTTGCATTAACCCTTACCACTCTAAAATAATGATTTTGGAAAAAATGATGATGATGTCAAGAACAAAAAACAACAACAGGGAAAATCCATCAAATGTTAAAAAAATGTAAACAAAATTTTTTAGGATAAACCAAAACACAGATAGAAAAAGGCACAAGCAATCCAAAAAAAAGGAAGAAGAGAAACTTTTCATTCAATAAACATGTTTTCTTTCTTTCTTTTTTTTGGATCAATTATAATTCATCTTCGTCATCATCATTGATGAAAATATAGTAGCAGCAGCGACGGAAATTCCTCTTGACGTCAACAAATTTATGAAATTATTAGTTGTTTACCAAGGAAAAAAATCCAAAACAAAACCAAAACAGAAAATCAAAACAGAAAACCAAAAAACCAAAATACAGAAAGGAAAGAAAAAATCATTAATTGAAACATAGTATCCATCTTCAACGACATCGATGAAGATGCTAAATAAATTATGGTATCGGTTGTTTGTTGTTGAATTAAAATATATTTTGTTTGTTTGTTCATAAACATCATTGATTATGGATGAATATTTTGTTTGTTTGTTTTTTCAATCAAAATTTTTAAAATTAATTAATTTATAATGTAATTATAATGCGAAAAACCAATGATTTCTGGAACAATGTTTTTGTTTTTTTGTTTCATCATATTTTCGGATCAATTTCTTTCCAGGGTTTTGCAATAACTTCTCTTTTTTATATATTTTCCAGTTGAAATATGAGATTTTCAACGGAAAAAAAATGAAATGAATGAAAAAAATGAATCAAATTTCATAGGTCAGCGAAAGTTGACTGATTTTTGTTATGTTTTTTGGTTTTGTAACAAACAAACAAACAAATCAAATCAAATCAAAAGTTAGCTTAGTGTCTGTCATCGATGAATAATAACATTGTGCAAGTTTTGTTGAAAAAAAATGTCAAAATTGTTGTTGTTGATGGACATGCATGAATCTTTTCCTTTTTTTTCAACATTGGAAACCAAACAAAACAAAACAAGAAAAAAATCGTTTCTGAATTCATGAATTTCAAAAAAAAGAAGAAAAAGAAAAGATTCGATAGTAAAAGATTTTCTTCGTTGTTGTCCCAGATAGTTTTGTCGCCTACTTTTACTTCTGTTTTCTTCTTTTGTCATTCTCATTCATTTCAATAGAATTTCATATTCATATTCTTGGTATATTTCATTGTTGCCGATTCTTTTGAAATATTTTTTGTTTCCTTTGAATAGAATTCTGAAAAAAAGAATCTAATCATGAATCAAGAATCATGAATCAAGAATGATCAGCATCAGATTGAATAGAATCGACAATTTGTTCATAAAATTGAAATTTTTTTTTCTCCAATAAAGACAGAGGGTGTTTGAACATGAAAATACCCATACGAACTAATCCAAACTAATGGTTGAAAAAAAAATATTTTCATCATTTTGAACCGGAATTAAAATTCAATGTCCAGATTAAAAACTTTTTTCAAAATCTCCCTTTTACAAATCTGATACAAAGTTTTTTGTTCCTTTGTCATTATTATTCAAAATAATGATAATAATGATAATATCATAATCATCGATTATAATCATTTTGTTCAACTATTTTTTTCCAATTTTCATTTCAAACTTTTTGTTAATTCCGTAAAAACAAAAATAGAAAGAAGAAATTCTTCTGAAGTTTTTGTAATATTGAAAATCTTTCATGAAATAGTTTTTTTGAAAGTAAACTTGCCTGAATTGTGGTCGATTGCTGCTGCTGCTGCTGCCGTACAAATGATGCTGAAATCTTTTCCTGATTTTGATTATCATTTGGATGATGTTGATGATGATTATGATGATGAAGATGTGGATGTGGATTAAGATGTTTGTGATGATGATAAGAATGATGATGATGATTATGATGATTATAATCATCTGAAAATTTATTGGCAGATGTTTCAAATATTGAAACCATTATATCTAATGCAGCTGATGTTGTTTTACCAGCGATATCGGTTTCAGTTTCTGTTTCAATTGCTAAAGGAATTGTTGTTGTTGTTGCTGATGTTGTCATTATTGATGGACCATTACTATTAGTACTAGTAGCCGCTGATGCTGTTGTTGTTGTTAGTGTTGTTGTTGTTGTTGTTGTTGAATAATCATTACCAACATTAATAGTAATAACATCAAAATAAACAATCCATGGAAATGATATAATCATACTGAATAACCAAATCAGTATTATAGTTGTCCAACACATTACTGTTGAACATTTTTTACTTAATGGATAATAAATTGCATAGAATCTATAATAATGATTGAAAGTGTGAATGGAGGAACGTCAAGGTCAAAAAAGAAAATGAAAAAAATAAATAAATAAAGAATTCATAAGTTTAGAACAAAAACAAAAAAAATTCTTTACATAAATTCTTTTAAAATTTAATATTTTTTTCTCCTTTTCTTTAAATTCTCATTTTCTTATATCATTATTATCATCTTTTGCGTGTGTGAGTTGTTTATGATAGTAAAAAATATTTGTTCGGAAATAAATTCTTCAATCTTTTTTTTGGTGATAAAAATTTTCATTACAATTCACTTATGTTGACATGATTTGTTCTTTCTCTCTCTTTTCTGTCACATCACTAAATGACAGAGGAATTTGTTTTACGGAGAACGAAAAACAAAACCGAACAAAACAAAGCAAAATTACTTCCAATCATTTTGTTGTTGTTGTTGTTGTCGATTTGATTGAAAAATAATAAAAAACTAAACTAAACTAACCAAACATCAAATGAATGTAATTTTCATCTCTTCGCACACACTAACACACTAACACACTAATACAATCAGATCTCTGGTTCCAACGAAACCAGATCTCAAAATCAAAAGTTACAAATTACATGAAAGAAACAAAACAAAAAATATTTATATAATTAATGATCCATATATATAAAATTACAGCGATTTTTTTTTTGTTTTGTAATATTAATCGTTTACAAACAAGCACACAATATTTATCAAGCGATTCTTCGTTTAGTCAAAAAAAAAAAGAAAATTTGAGAAACACTGATTTCTAAATTCCTAGTATGAAAAAAAAAGATTAATCAGCTAATGTTCAGTGTGTGGTTTCTGTTTCTGTTTTTTTTGAAACAATGTTGAAAAAAATTATTATCATGTTTTTTTTGGTGTTATGTTTCTTTCTCTCTCTCTCGGTGTGTGTGTTTGTAATGTTTTTTTCATCGTTTGGTTTTATTGGGAAAATTTTTTGTTTTCAATTTTTTTTTGATTGTCAGCAAGCGAAACAGAAAATCTAGCCTAAAAAAATGAAAAAAAATCTTTCAAAAAATGATGAAGATAATTAGAGACACACCATATAAGCATTGCAACATCGTCTTGAAGAATATTCTGGGGGTTTTTTCTTTTTTGTTCAAATTGTCTTACATTTTTTCCTCTTCTTCTTCCTACGAATTTATGATAATAAGTGTGAATTTCATTTTTTTTTCTTGTGACTAAATTTAGATCTAAATTTGTCTTTTTTTTTTAAAAAAAAAAGAGAACTGATTTTTTTCAATTCTATTTTTATGATCGAAAAAAAATCGAAAGGGGTGAAATTTTGATCATAAGTTTTTTTTTTCCCACACAAATTTTTCTCCACATTCACGCAAATCATTATCATCATCAAACGTATTGTACAATGGATATTTTTTTTTGTTCGTTTGCTTGAAAACTAACGAAAAAAATTCTGTTATTTTCCGCGGACAGTATAATATTTCAATTCGTGCATGAATGAAAATTTGAAATGTTTGGATTGGATTCTTAACACACACAAAAAAAAAATCAAAATCAAAAATAAAAAACAAAAAAACAAAATTTCCGTTTCGTTTCACATTTTCATTAACAAATACAGGCCAGAAAATGTCAGAATTTTCCAGATTGGTCCAATTCATTCAATCATCATTCATTTACCAAACAATATTTATGTCTTTATTACATTTGTGTTGTGCCTGATTGTCATTTGGAAAGTCAAAAAAAAACAACAAAATAAAAATTCCCTGAAAATCCTTTCACTTCACAAATCATCGATACACTATTTTTCTCTCTCCCTTTATATATTTGTATAATGATTCTGAAATGATCACGTAAAATCCATTTCTGTTTGGATTATTTCTGTTTTTCATTTCAAATAAAATATATTAGCTTTATGTTCCGGACACACACCCATATATCATCATTAGGTTTTTTTTTTGTTTTTGTTTCCCCTCGATAAAAATCATGCTTAATTAGCCTTAATTTTCAATCATCATTAAATTTTGTTATGGGTCATTTAGAAAAAACAAGAAAAAACTTACCGATCAATTGAAATGGCAACCAATGTATAAACTGAAGCATTAACCGATACACCCTGTAAATATGGTACTGCTTTACAAACTGATCGTCCCAGAACCCAGGCTATTGAAAAGAATATTGATCGATCGATTGATCGATTGATTCGGGAAAACAAAGAAAGAAATTAACAAATTAATTCAACAAATGTAACTATTATCTTTTTAGGTTAATTTTGTAACAAAAGTAGGCCATTTAGTTATTATAAATTATAAATTAGTTATACTTACGTAGATAAATATTACCAATTAATGTTGGTATTAAACAAAATAATACAACTAATAAATCAGCTAATGCTAAATTACAAACAAAACGATAAAAAACTTGATTCGAACGATTAATTGTAATCAATGGTACTGATGATTGATAATAAACTGTTTGATGATGATATTGTGGTGTTGAACCACCACTATTATTATTATTATTATTATAATTATTATGCGAATTAAAACTTGGATTTGGTGATAAATTTATACGATTATTTGCTGTTGTTATTGTTGTTGTTGTTTGAACATTAAGTCGATGTATATTTTGATTTAAATTTGTACAAGAAGAATTATCTTTTGTATATGAATGATTTCCATTATAATTTTTTTGATCACCATTATTAAATTGATTTTGATTATTATAATTAAATGCTGTTGTTGTAATAGCAATACCAGATTGTCTATATTTATTTTCACGTTTTAACATCCAAACAATCCATAATACAGATATATTACCAAATAAACCAAATAAAAATACAATTAAATATGCAATAATTAATATTATTGTCCATGATAATGAATAACGTAAATTACAAGCAGAAAATGTTGATAATATTATTGTTGTAGGTGATGCGGATGATGCGGATGCGGATGAGGATGATGTTAATTCATTAAATGAACAATTAATATTCATTAATGATGAAATTGTTGATTCAGTTTGATTATTATCAATTAAATCTACTAATGATGATGATGATGATGATGATGATGATGATTGCCAATCAAATAATGATTGACTTGATGATGATGATGATGATAATGGATGTAGAATTAAACTATGATTATTATTATTATCAGCAAACAATGACATGATGATAATGATGATGATGATGATGATGATAGTAAATAAAGCAAGTAAGTAAAGATTGATCGTTTGATTAAACAATACAAAAAAAAAAATTAGCCAATTTTATCAAATTGATTTATCGAGAAAAAATTATCATTATTGATGGAATTCTGCTTTTTAAGAAAAAGAAAAGAAAAAAGAAAGTGGGAAATGTAATAATAATTATCAATAATAATGGAAAAAATCAATATCAAAAAAATGAATTTCAAGAATCATCTATAGAAATCAATTGAGTTTGTTTGTTTGATTTTTGATTTTTTGTTTTGTTTTGTTTTTTGTTTTGTTTTCTGTTGTTGCACCAATTCAATGTCAATACATTATTTGATGAAAATTTATTGAAAGATTTTTTCATTCATTCATTAATTCCCCTGTTCCTTTCTCCCTCTAACACACTTTTTTTTCACTGCGAAACATCACATGATTGTCGTCGTCGTCGTCGTCGACGACAACCGTCAAAACAAGTTCATTTTAGTGCCATGTTTTTTTTCCGTTGTTGTTGTTGTTGACTTATGAAATGTTATGAATGAATTTTTTATTTGTTGAAAAATTCAACAAAAAGCTACTGCATCTGCAATGATTAGATAATAATAAAAAAAAACAGCAACAACAACAACAAAAGCACAATGAATAAATGAATCTTTTATTTGAACAAAAATATTTTGAAATCAAAAAAATCAATTTCAATTTGGATTTTATCATTTGAAAATGAATCAAAAAAACGATTAATATTTGAAATTTTTACAACACATGGTAGAATTTTCAAATATTTGGATTTTTTTTTGTTGTTGTTTTCTGAGGCAAACAAACAGAAAACGATTAAAAAACAAATTTCGTTTTTCTTTCATTCAAAATCCAGACATAATGGTCAAATAATGGTCAAATAATGATGATACAGTTGTTTTTTTGGGCTGTTGTTGATGACATTTTTCAACCAAAACGACCATAAATTTCATTGGAAAAATAATAAATCAGTCTGGATTCATTCATGATATAATAAAACACACTTAACACTTAGACATTTAGATGATATTTAGGGGTGATATTCAGGGGTGATATTCAGGGGTGATTGAACTAGAAAAAAATAATTGATAATGGATTTTTCATTAAATCAATGAAGTATGAAGTGTTAAATTGAATATTTCATCTTTGATTCATGACTATCATCATCATCACCATATGACAGGTTGTTTGATTCAATCGCAAACAAAAACTTCTAATTGAACCAAAAAAAAAATTAAATTAACCATTTGGGAAAAACTGACTGATCTATCAGTTACATCATTACATTCGGTAAAAGTCAGCAAAAAAACAAAAACAAAAATGAACGAATTTCATCGACTTTTGTCTTTTTTGTCAAAGTGTTAATAATTTCATTCACGTAACCCAGAAGAAGAAAAATTTTCTTCTTCTTTTTTTAAAAGAAAAATCTGTTAACGGTATAAAATTTTTTTTCAAAATGTCAAACATTTAGTGTTGTTGTTGTTTACGATGTTTTTGTTGTTGTTTTTGATGCTTTTTTTTTGCTTTCGGGCTAGAAATAGCAACAACAACAACAGAATAAACGAGATAAAAGAAAAGCAAAGTCACGAATTCATTCTGAAGTTGTAGTCGAAAAAAAAACAGGTCGAGGAACTTTTTTTCCCACACTCAAAAAACAAACAAACAAAAACAAAATGTACTTGTTAATTTCAGGATAGTGACGACAACGACAACAACAAGAAACTTGATGACTTTTGAAAGAATTTTTCCATTCATTCAGCTTTTTTCTAGTTTAGAAACAAATTATTTTTCGGGGAATGCGATATATGCAAAATAAAAAAAAAAGAAGAAGTTATTAATTCAAAATGCAAATGTAAAATGAGAAAAAGAAAGAAAGAAAATGATATGGATGTTTTTATTGCAAGAAAAAACAAAACAAAATAATAAACGGAGGATTTTTCAGGCTAGACGAACATATTAGACATTGCATTCATGCATGAATGTCTGACAAAAAGCAAAAAGCAAAAACAAAAAACAAATGTTTTTTTTTCAAAAATTGAAATTAACAAAAAATGAATTCAGGTTAAGCAACTCTTTTGAAATCCGTAAAAAAACACAGAAAAGAAAATTCATATTTCAAAAACCAAATTTTTCATTTATTTTGAAATATTGAAAAGTTTTTTTAAAAAAGTTTGCTTGTTTTTTTTCTTGGTTCATTAGAAAATAAACATTTTAATTTATTTATCCATTCCAAACATCATCATCATTGTCATCATTAATTATTAATTATAATGATTTATATATTGCCTGGATCCCCAAAAATCAATACATCTTGTTCATTAAATTTAACATTATTATGATGATCTTTGAATCTTATGAGACAATATTTTCTTCATTTGGGACCTATTATTATGTTTTCAGTCTGGAGAAAAATAAATAAATAAACATATATGACTATGAAAGAGAAAGATAGTCTATAGTCTAGAGAATCACAGAAAAATCAGAATAGAAAATTTAATTTTGGGTTTTCATGAATTTTTTAAAAAAAAGTCAGTCAAAAAAAAGAAATTCCCAAATTCTTAAAAGGACAACTTTTATTTTAAAATCAAAATCAAACATTTATTTTTATATATAAAAAAAAATAATTGGTTTTTTTTTCTGTTCAAAGTTCATTGGCATTCAGTTTGTTTGTTGCTCCAATATTCGATATATTGGATGATGTAAAAGTTTCGTTCTTCTTTTTTTTTGTTGTTGTTGTTGCTGTTATTACATCAATGTTAATCACATAAAGATTATTTTGTATATAAAATGTGGGTAAGACTTTCGTTTTACTTCGGATTTATTTATTTTTTTATAGTCACAATTTTAGTAACGAATTTTTCTTTTCACTGTTTTTACTGTTTTTCAATAGATAATATATTAAAATATACTTGCCTGAATGATTTTGTCATTTGTTGTTCGAGTTTTTCTTTTACTTGTTTATAACGAATGATGTTGATGATAATCGTATTTTTACAACGAAAAAAAACTATCGATTGATTGATGTTGTCATGGCAAACAAACAGAAGAAGAAAATTTCGATTTACAAATGTTGATTCATACATTAGAAAAAAAAACAACGAAGAAAATCATTTGATTGATAAAAATTCTTTATTCATTCAAATGAAAACAACCAAACGCATTATCAAACATATCAAAAACAAATATCCACTGTTTTTTAACGATTTTAAAGAATCTGTTTTCATAAATTGTCAAATTTCAAACTGAATCAATCCAATCATTTTTTCCAATGTTTTTATCATCATCATCATTATTGAAGAATCTCTGTTTTCATAAATTGTACGCAAACTCAATACCAAAACAACAAATTATTATAGTAATTATTTGAGCATGTGTAATTCGGAATTTTTAGCGAAAAATAAAAGTTTTTCTTCTTCTTCTATAGTTTCTTTATTATTTTTCCATCATAAATTGATCTACATTCAACGAAAAAAAAATTTCATCCTGTTTATATTGATTTTAACCAAATAAACACACAAACAAACATTAAAGGATCGATTGATTTTAATCTTTTTTGTTTCAAGGGGGGAGAGGATAAACCAAACGGATCACGAATAGTTAAAATAATTGATTTTTTGCCCCCTCACAATACACACAAACATTGATTATCAAAGTTTTTTCTTCTTTTCATCCTATCATTCATTCATTCATTCAGAAAAACAACCACATGTAAAGCTTTATGGATATAAAAGTTTTTTTCTTCTTTCTTTCTTTTCTCTGTGTTTTGTTTTGTTTCCATCCAAATAGTTATCACTAATTAATTAAGCCATGAATGAATTACAAATTTTT